TTGTTTTTTAAAAAAAAAAAAAAAAAAAAAGTGAGACTGTCTCACCAAGGAAAGCAACTGATAGTATTTGTTGCCAGTGGTAAACTTTGCATTTTCAACCAGAAATTTGAATTTTGAAAACTGTATATCCATCACCTTAATAGTTTTCCAATTCTTAGACTTTTCTGCTGATCTCAGGGTAATATTCACAAGTGTGAGTATTTTTTCATATTGTATAATTATACTTGTTGATATTGGGAAGAGCTGCGTAACTCTGCTCCATCATTTCGAAATGACAAATGTGAGAGGTCCATTCACAATCCAAGAGTGGTGGGTGTGATGTAACAGATACGGTGTGGTTTTCAATTCCACATGGCAAGTCACCTTTAAGAAAGTATCACTTTTGAGTTTTGGCTATAGTATCAAAAAGCAGTATCCACAGTTGTGCCAAGAAACAATTAAAATGCTTTAAGTTCAGGTGTCTCAGCAACAGAAAGAGAATTTAGATTTGGAAGTGACTTCAGAGTTCCTCAGCTCCACTCCCATTCTGTAAATGAGGAAATAGAGGCCAGCTGGTTCATTCACTGTCCTTGGCCACCCACCAGGAAGTGGCAGAGCAGGATGGGTGTCCAGCTTTGCTTTCCCTCGAGGCCAAGTGGTGGTGAGCATCTTTTCGTGTCTGAGCTCATTGGCCATTGGCCTGTCTTCTTGGGTCTGCTCAAGTCCTTTGTCTACTGTTTAATTAGAATATTTGTCATTTTATCATTGAGTATGACTCTCTTACCAGATATACGATTTGCAGATATTTTCTTCCATTCTGTGGGTTGTCTTTTCACTTTCCTGATGATGTCATTTGCAACACAAAAGCTTTTAATTTTGGTGAAGCCCAGTTTATCTTTTTTTTCCCCTTTTGTTGCTTGAGCTTGGTGTCCTAGCCAAGAATCCATTGGCTAACCCACATATTTGTTCTTTGTTTTCTTCTGAGAGTTTTATAGCTTTAGCTCTTCCATTTAGATTACTATCCACTTTTAGTTAATTTTTGTGTATATTGTGAGGAAGAGGTCTGGCTTCATTTGTTCACATGTGCATATCCTGTTGTCCCAGCATCATTTGTTAAAAAGACTATTTCTAACCCCACTGAAATATCTTGGTGCCTTTTGTCATTCTTTCCAACTAAGCTCTTTTAGAGAAATATCTTTTTCTACTATTTTCAGTTAAACATGGTTTTATCAAAATATTCATTCATCTGATGCCCTGTTGGTTTGTTCACAGCCCAGCAGACCTGGTTATCCTAGTCCAAGGTCCAGTGAAGGATTTTATCCCAGCCCACAGCACATGGTGCAGACCAATCATTACCAGGTACTCCAGTCCTTACAGAGATGATGTGTTCATTCATTCTTCAGCATGTCTGAGGGTGGGGAGGGACATTGTGTATGTTTATATTTTTATTTGTGTACTTAGCAGTATGGTTTGGCAAGCAGAAGGCTAAGAAGTAGTCAGCCTAGTAATTGTCTAGGTGCACGTTGTCCTGACATCCACACAGGGGCTGCGAGCAGTCACTCCTTTGAAAGCAGCTGGTGCAAGTGTCCCATGGCCCACAGTTCTCAGGTCTGCTCTCTCCCTTCTGTTCCTGTAAAGTGCAGGACGCAGTGGGCACACACTCCGCAGAGGTAACTCAACTGGGCAGTTCTCCTGGAAGCCAAGAGTAAGATTCAGAATTACCTTAAAAGCCAGACAAACCCTGACCCGTGTGCTCAGTGGTTAGAGTGTTGACCTGAGCACTGAAGGGTTGCGGGTTCTATTCCCAGTCAAGGGCACATACCTGGGTTGCAGGTTGGTCCCCGGCCCTGGTTGGGGAGCGTGCGGGAGGCAACCAACCGATAGATATATCTATCTCACATCAATGTCCCCCCCCCCCTTTCCCCTTCCTACCTTCCTACCTCCCTTCCACTATCTTTAAAAATCAATGGACAGGTGAGGATTAACCAAAAAAAAAAAAGCTAGATGAATTGCCACACAGACAAGTATGGAAGGAACGTCAGACTTGCAGACAAATAAGCCGCACAGAGGAATAGATAATCCCTGAAAGAAAGGGCCAGAGCAGTCAGTTCAGTCATGGTTTTGTTTTTATTTTTGAGCGAAGGTGTCAGCTTTTGTTGAGGGGCAGGAAGTCAGAACTCAGCAGACACTGAGCAGGAGTCCCACACCAGAATTGTTTAGAGAGAATGTGACAGCACAGAAAGAGAGAGCGCTCAGGTTCCAGCAGCCTCGCAGGTCCTTGCCCTGTGACGGGTTTCTGTCCCTTGAGGACAGGGACTTGGCTGGACTTCCAGTGCTTAGAACAGTGTAGAATAGAGTTCAGTGAGTAATTATGGTATTCTCTTTTATCATGGAGGAAATGATTAAACCTCCTTATCTTGTAAATGAGAACAGCTACAGGACATTTCCTGTCATTATTTCATGTTCCTTTTTAGCCTAAAATGCTCTTCTGGTCCTGTAGCATGCTAGGTGGCATGTATAGAGCTGCCTTAGGTCATTTGAAATCTCTTTGTTGTGAAAATTCGTAAAAGTTCTTTGGCAGTAATATGTCCTTTTCGACCAAGTGTAGTAACGGTATAGCATCTTATGTTTAGTAAAATTTTTTATTATTAAATATTTACATTCAGTAAACTGTGAGAACTATCTGTATATCTTATGACAGTTTAATTCCATATTGTTAGGATGGAGTTTGGTATAAGTCAATGCCTGGAGACCTAACAGATACACAAAACCTCTGTTAAAGGCTGTGTGGCTATTTGGCTGTTTTTAATCTCATTAAAAAATTGATAACCCCAGCCATCCAGTACTAGCCTGATGAGTCATGGGAACAAGTGCTGGTGTCCGCCTGTCTTTCTCTCGACTGAGGGAGGGAACCGTACGAAGAAAGTCCTCTCATTTTCCTTCTGCCTGACGCTCTTCTCCACATCCAGCTGACTGTCTCTGCCTGGCTCAGTCTTCATGGTTAGAACTTGAAGACTGACACCCCCCTCACCAGCCCGCATTCATCAGGGCACATATATTTGGGGGTTTGTCTGTTGGGTTGGGCAGGTAGGGGTTCCAGGGCAGTGTGTGGTGCAGCTGTGTGTATGGCCACCAAGGATGGTCTACCCCCAGTGTGTAGTTAAGTGTAAGATTCCAGAGTAGCTGATTTCTGACTGTTGGGGCCTGTTTGCAGTAGTTGTCTAATGTGGCCTCAGTGGAGAACCCTCCAGAGCCACCTGCATTCTTTGGCTCGTGACCTCCTTCCTCCCTCTTCAGAGCCAACAATCAGTGTGGATCTCTTGATCTTCAATAGTCACATGTCCCTCTCGCCCCTTCTGCTTCTCTTGTGACTTTCTAAGGAACCTTGTGATCATCACATCAGGTCCACTCAGATAGTGCAGGACCATCTCCCCACCTCAAGGTTCCTCATTTATAATCCATCTGCAAAGTCCCTTTGCCATGTAAGGTGCCATAGGCACAGGTTCCAGGGAACTGGACGTGAGCAGCTTTGGCTACCACAGCATTCTCTGTAATCTTAGTTACCTCCTTTCACGTGGAAGCAGAACTGTGCAGAACTCCTTGTGTCTGAACCTGACCTGGCCACTCACCCACAGGTCTCTGGCTACCCTGGCTCACACGGAATCACAGCCATGGCGGGCAGCATGTACCTGGGGCAGGCATCCCTTTTGGACCAAACAGATTCTTGGAATCACAGACCACAGGAGATATCAATGTGGCAGCCCAACATGGAGGTAAATTGGATGTTCTTGGGTTTCGGCTTTTTTCTTTTTAAATATGTCTTTATTGATTTCAGAGAGAGGGAGGGAGAGAGAGAGAAACATCAATGATGAGAGAGAATCATCAGTTGGCTGCCCCCTACTGGGGATCGAGCTCCCAAGCCGGGCATATGCCCTGGCTGGGAATCTAACCGTCACCTCTTGGTTCACAAAGTCAATGCTCAACCACTGAGCAACACCAGCCAGGCAGACTTAGGTGTTTTTAACTGACAAAGCTTTGCCCAAGGTACCTTTTACTTCTAAATCCTACAGTTTCTTGATTTTGGTGACCTAAGTCTCAGATTAGGTTACTCCTTTTACTTAAATGCTTTCTGATTCTCTGAATCTTTTTTACTAAAGGAGAGATGCTATCATCATTAGCCCATTCATTTGAAAGGCAGACCCTAGATTGAATAGAATTAGCATGTACCTGAGGCCAAGGGAAAAACAGGAAGCCAGAGCCTCCTGTCAGTACTGTAGTGTGCACCTATGATAGGAATCCTGTTGTTGCACTCCCAGATTGTTTCCACTGTTTACTAGAACTAACAGCACATTCTTTGCACATGTGTTGTTATTCCTTAAAGTATCTCCCTGCCTATGGAGCAGAGCAGAGCAATTGTATACTTTTTACTTTATTTTTTTAACCTTACCCGAGGATATTTTTTCTATTGCTTTTCAGAGAGAGTGGATGGGGGAGAGAGAGAGAGAGATAGACATCGATGTGAGACACATCAATTGGTTGCCTCCCCCACCATCCCCTACTGGGCCAGGGATCGAACCTGCAACCAAGGTACATGCCCTTGACTGGAATCAAACCCGGGACCCTTCAGTCCTTGGGCTGATGCTCTAACCACTGAGTAAGACTGGCTAGGGCAGCAGTTGTATATTTTTTAAAGATGCCTGGCACGTGTTAACTCGCAGCCTCCAGAATAGTTGCCTCCATAAGCAGCATAAGCGACCCTACTTGCACCACCTTGCTGTTTTGCTTAATTGTTTGGAAAGACAGGAAAAAAGTCAGCGCATCATAAGTAGGCCTGAGATCGCCATGCTGTTTCTAACCCTCAGGACTCTGCGGCGCTGGACCTACGTGGGATCGGGCAGGTGTTGCCAACACACCTGATGGAGGAGCGGCTGATTCGGCAGCAGCAGGAGATGGAGGAAGACCAGCGCTGGCTAGAGAAAGAGGAGAGGTTTCTGGTAATGTATCCAGTTTCAGAAATATTCTTCCACCCTCAGGCCCTGCTGGAGTCTCTTGCAAAAGTTCATCTTTCTGGAAACAGGAGAGCTAGTTTTGCATCTGGTTCCTAAAACTTGCAATTATGGGATATTTGCTTTTCTTGAGTTATTTTTTCAAGATAGGTTTCTGAGGTTTTAATAGTGGCCTTGTGGGCTCAGAGGTGTGAGTATTTCTATGGTTTCTCTGTCACCGCTGTGTTTACAGAAGCAGCCTCCCCGAGGTATCAGCTTGCACATAAACATCTCACCTGTCTTACTTCTGTGATTAAACTGCTTCCCAATCATTTACAGCAGGGGCAGGGAACCTCTTTTCTGCCAAGGGCCATTTGCATATTTAGATCATCATGGGCCATACAAAATTATCAACTTAAAAATTAGCCTGCTATATTTGGTCAAACATTTAATTAACTCACCCCTGCAGGGCCAGACCAAATGGGGCCGGATGTTCCCCACCCTTGATTTACAGCTTCCTGTCACTGATACAGTGGTTCCTCATTTTCAATGAACTTTTTCATAGTGTACTTCTGTGTGTGCATGTGCAGTTGATTTTTAGGAATTTATCTTGTATTTTCCAGTATTTATCACATGAAATCTTTTTGACCGATTTCCCTGAATTTTCCAAATGTACCGTTGTTGCTCTTTCAAGCGCTTTCTGCCTTCATTCGGTGTTTGTTAGATACCTCCCAGTTCTTTCCTGAAGTGCCTCTAGCTAACTTTTGTACGAAATAGCTCCTTGCTGGCTTTTCCTGCTTTTATTTTAAAGGTAGTGTCTGTAATAGTTTTCTCCATTAAGTATAATTTGGTATAATGTTGCCTTGTACATTTTAAATGTATTGTGGTGGTGGTGTTTTAAGAAAGCTTTATAAGGTTTAACATGAGTTACGTGGAGCCTTTACTTGGGTTTATGCTAGTCCTGCATCCCAGAGATAAGTCCCTACTTAGTCATAATTGGTCACTCTTTTCAAGCCATGGTTTATTTATTTGTGGTGTTTTATTGGGATTTAGAATTGATGTTAATAAGTGAGAATGATTTGTTTATTGTCATTGTTTATTGGCTTCAAAATCAGCACAGTACTGGTTTACTAAAGTGAGTTGAGTAACCACAACCCCATCTGATTTGAGTCTTCGTAAGGCAGATGTTATGGTGGGGGAGGGGGTGCTGAGAGCAGCAGGCAGTCAAGACAGGGCTGCTTCTGGGAGACAAGACCAGTAAGTGTTCCTTCCACCTGGGACATTTTAATTGGGATCACAACAATATTGCTCCCTCCGAGCCATTTTTCATGCCACAGCCACAGTAATATTCCTAACACGTGAATCTGTCACTCTCTGACGTAAAATCTGCCAGTGACTATCGCAGGATGAGCAGCCTCCTTCCCGGCCCCTCCTTTTTTCCTGTCCTCCTTGGTCAGCCCCTGTTTGTGACAGAGAGCACTGAGCACAATAAGGGAAGGACAGCATCCAGGTCATTGGGAAGGGCTGAGCAGCTGAAATGACAAGAAGGCCAGCCCCAGAAGGTCTGGAGAACATTCCAGGGAGAGGGCCCAAGGCGAGCTTGGAAGGAGCCAAGTACTCCTGAGGACAGGAATGAAGGGGGACAGGTCACACAGTCCCTTAGGTCATGCAGGTGGGGAGGGTACAGTGGCCAGGGGTGTGGAGGTGGCAGGAAAACGGAGCAGCTTGGCCCTCAGAGGGATCCTTCCCATCCTGACTCTCCTAAACAGCATTATGAGAAAGAACCTAGATTTTGGAGAATTAAAAATCATTACTGTGATCCTACATAAATTATTTTATCTCTTTATGCTTTAATTTCTTAACCTATGAAAAAATGCCCTTCATACGGTACAGGTAATGCTTTTCTCCCAGAGTGAGGTTGAAGATGACATGGGAGCAGTGGAGGGAGCACCCCATTTATTTTTCAAAGGGCTTTATCTCTATTCTTTGGTTTGAGCTCCATAGCCTCCATGAGCTGCGTTGATGAGAGTCTAGACTCCTGGATCATATGCCTCATATGACACAAAGTTCCCACAGACAGTCCCAGAATACCTTTGGGCCACTCTTGACCGAAGGCTAATGTAATAGATGGTGTGAGAAATTGGCCACTTTCAAAGGGATTGCTCAGTAGCTATACGTCCTTTTATTGGATTTATTGGCTGCTATAAAGAAACCTTAATTCACTTTTGTTAGCTGTTAGCTGACAAGCCCCTGGTGGTGTCTGAGTGCTTGGTGTCCCCTACGATGCAGAACCCACATGCCAGAAATGCCATCTTTTAGGCTGAGGCCTTTTCCAGGGCACGTTTGTCCAGCTGTCAGTGAGGTAGGGCCAGCCTCTGGTTTAGTCTGAGTTGTCATAGACCTGCTGCTCTAGTTAAATAAAACAAAAACCAGTTACTAAAAAAGGGAAATTTTTAAAAAGATATGTAACATACAAGCGAAACTTTTTTATTATGAACATCAACAGACCTAAAACTGACTGTTTCACATTGCTCTAGAAATTTCTAAAGATGCTCGCCTTCTGTTTTGTCTCCTCATGGCCTGGAAACAGGTTGTTCCCACCCTGCTCTGGTCCTCGACTGCTTGGGGAGCAGTGCTGCCCCACTCAGTGACATCAGCTATGCAGCCTGGAAGAAGAGTTAAGTTTCTACTTGAAAAATTAACTCTTAAGTTGCTTTCTCAGTCATATTTACCAGATTTTTTATAATCAGAATCCGCAGCTGTTTATTGAAACCTTCCGTTTTTAGGACTCACATGGTTGTATGGTAACTGTTGTTAATAATAGCTCCTGCCTTCCCTTGAGTACTATGGTGAGCCAGGACGCTTGTATATGTTTGTTCATTAGCACACGATTTTACAGTGGCAGCCTCTTTCCCAGGGTCACACAACTAGGACCCATGGCACCTGCATACGGTGCGTGCCTGCTCCCTTCTCCCGTCCCAGTTCAGCTTGTGTCCTTTCTGAGCTGGCAGAATCCACGACTGAGAGAGTTCTCACACACTGGCCAGAGTGCAGCAGCCATGAGCAGAACCCGTCTATTCCGAGCACTTTCTTTCCTACTGAGTAGGACTTACAGACAGAGTGACTTTGTTACTTATTTCTATTACTGTGCGCACAGTAGTTTTCTGATGTGGTACTGTGCTGAAGACAGAAATTTAATTTTAAAATGAGAAAGGCCTGCTTACATAAAGCCTACTTTGTGTCCTAAGACAGGAAATAAATATTTGAGCTGTTTTTCCTCTCATAGCCAACCCAGGGCAGCCTGTCGGAAGATTGTGCTGCTCCCATTCCTGCTTCTGGGCAAGGCCACATCCTCTTGTGTTTCTTCTTATGCCATATGCCAGATTTGAAGACAACATAGTTCAGGGCGGAGGGACTTTCAGTTGAATGCCTGAATTTGAAGTGTTTAGAATGATAGCAGCATGAGAGTAGAGACTGAGGTTGACCTGTGGGTGGCTCTGTCCCTAGAACTTTAAACAGTGCCTTCTCTCACTGCCACCGAGGAGAGGAGAGTGAGCATGCCTGCTCACAGGAACATGTTCATAGCAGCTTCTGTGTGGTGCCAGGTATTGGAGATAACCTGCCTGCTCCTTGATGTCAGAATGAACAAACATTCATACAGCAGGTGCTTCACTGCAGCAAGGTGGACAGCCACAGGGTCAGTGAAACAGACAGGTGGTCGCCAAATGCCAGACACACAGGATTCACATTGAGTCCATTTACGTGAAGCTCAGATGCTCATCCCTGTGGCGGGGCGGAGGCAAGTCTCCACTGGGCAGGGCAGGCAGGTGCCTGCCAGGTTGTCCTGATCTGGGTATAGTGTGTTAGGTGGGTGCACACATACATGAAAATGGGTTGAGTTTTACACTGAACATTTGTACACTTTGTCATATATGTTGTACCCAAATAAAAAATAAAAGAAGATGCATGCCCAATAGGGAAAATAATCAGATCGTCCCAAACGTTATGTCTGTGACCCATTCAAACAAGATTTTAACTATAAAATGCCCCACTTTATCTTAGCTGTTACTGTCTTCAGATATAGAGTGTTCTGTAAGGGAAACCGGAGACTTTAGTGCATCACCCAGTAGCAGAAATAGTGACAGGATCTCCTCTCTCTGACGCTCTACACTCCTTGATGGTGGTCCTGGCACTCCTCCATTCAGGCAGACATGTCCACTCACGGAACACAGCGGACTCAATGAAGGCTTTTCTCTTTAAAATTGAAAGTCTGTATTTGGAAAGGTATAACTTAGGGAATTATTGTGTATAAAGAAATAAAAACAAGTTATTTCATGGGATTTACATGGGAAGAAAATACATAATTTGTGTAAATACATGAAACACAGTCCCTTACTCTGTCAGCAAACAATAAACTCAAGTCGCTCTCATTGAAGTAAAAAAGCAGATAAAGTATCTCTGGTATGTAGAAGGTGCTCACTAAGTATTTGGGAACTGATTGAACCCACCCAGCAACTCCTCTGCCTTTGTGAACGTCAGGTTCCTCATCTGTAGGACCTGGTCTGCCTGCGTGTGGATTAAAGCACTCCTTCAGCATGTGTTCACTGAGCATCTAGTATGTGCACATCACTGTACCGTTGCTGTGGGGTCTGTCTCCCGGGTGAGGTGGTGGGTTTGGGGTGTCATACAGGTCTCTCTTCCCCCACCTGTCTGTTCTGTGCTGCACCAGTTAAAAGACCCAGTGGGGAAGCAGCTCCTATGGCCTCTGTCCTCATGGGCTAGTGTCTAGTGAGAAGAAACAAATATTCTGTTCAAGAAAGGGGAAGGTGCAAACCCCAGTAGCATAGCATTTTGTTCATGGAATTGGCTGAGTCTTAAGTGACAGTGCAGAGGGGCACAGTAGGAGAGACTTGTGTACTCCCGACAAGTAAAATCGCCTGCCGGAATCAGTTTGGCAACTTACACCCAGAACTTTCCAAATGTTGAAACCTTCTGACTCAGTAATTCCATTCCTAGAAATCTGTCCCCAGGGGAATAATCAGGGATTTAATTAGATTTGTACACAAAGGTGTCATCCACAGCCTGTTTCTACGTTGAAAATTTGAAAATGGCCAAAATGTTCAACTAACAGCAGAAGTGTTTATTTTGACACTTAATGTGCCAATAACTTAGTAATGTGCCAATATTAATTCACTTAGTCCTCCTAACCAACAAGCCTATGCAGTGGGTCCTATCACTGCCCCATTTTATAGCAGAAGAAACTGAAGCCCAGGCCACTAAGCTGGAAAGGGTTGGAGCTTGATCCGAACCCAGGTGGCCAGTGCCAGAGCCCGGGCTCCTCACTGTTGTTTCTAGTCATGATGACATTCATGCTGTGGAATATTGTACATCCTTTTAACATTGTTTTTACCTGATTCCACTATGTAATGGTACATGAAGGTTTGTAATTCTAAAATGTGGCTTCACTTTTGTACACATGTACATTTATAACAAGAGCAAGAGCAAGTCCTTTCTCCATCACCCCCAACCAGTGCTTGTGGCTGTGTCCTGGGAGCCAGCCCTGCCAGGTGTAAAGCTACACAAATGAGTCCGCAGAACGTCGCTCTTGTCTGGAGTGGAGTGGCCACTGCACAATCACAGGGTTCTTTGGGAGACAGTGAGTCCTGAGGAGGGTGGCTGGTGTGGTGGGCAGTGTGGTCAGCGTGGCAGGCAGGCTGGGGGCCACCAGTAGACGGTGTGGAACTGGCTTTCTTTATGCTGGTATTAGTGAAATTTGCATACTCTTATTTCTATCACATCCAGATTTCTCTGTTTGGTTTCTGTATTCTGGATGCTTTATGAGGAAGACTTTTAATTGGACCACTGCTGCTACGGCAGGACGGCCAGGTACATGCAGCCTCGCTCCTCAGAAAGCGGGAAGTGCAGCTGCTCATCCCAGCGGAGGCCCCCTCGTGAAAGAGACTTGCCTCACTGCTAGGAGGAGAGGTGCCGTGCTGGGGTCCTGTGTGGCGGGGCCATGACACAAGCCTGGTCCTACTTGCAGAGCATGTGGGGCTTTGCTGGGCTGCCAACCAGGGGTTGTCATCTCTGGCTTTTGAGAATTCTTTTTGAAATGGACGAACTTTCAACTCTCCTTAGTTAAGGACAATTGTGTTGTAAAAGGAAGGCATTTTTGAGAACCAAGACTGAAGCTGTTTGGCTTTGTTTTCACTTCAGAAACCTGATGTGCGGCTCTCTCGAGGCAGTGTGGACAGGGAGGATGGGAGTCTCCAGGGCCCGGTAAGCAGCTGCCAAGTTTGCACCAGGACTTGGACTATTGTTTTCATGTTGTGTGTACTAGTGTGATGCTACCAAACCCAACCAGCCATTCTTGTGAATGAAGCGGCCCTTGTAGCCCCACAGCCCTGTGTCCTTACTCAGATGCAGAAGTTTCCCACCCCATCATTAAAGCTTTCTCTTCCATAGGAAGCTGAACTCTGCTCCCTAAAGAAACATGTACGTGAATTAACTTGATACACACAAGTTGTATCTGCTAAATTTTCATATTCTTATTGTATGATTATAAAATTTCCACAGTCACAGAAAAACTTGTTTTAGGTAAGGTTTTTTTCCCTCTTGGTGTTGTCAGGGGAAATGCCTAACATTCTCTTTAAAGAACTAGCTTATGATTAATCCAAATATATTTAAAACCTGCTAGAACTCTTCCCTGGTCTTTTGGAGAGAGCAGTTAAAATTGTTCTATAAGGCTTTCCATCAGCAGATGTCTGGTTAAAATAAACACAAATTTCTTTCAACACTTAAAGGAGCTCCCAGTAAAAAAGGAGCCTTGTGCCTGCCAGGAAGCAAATGTGTGGAGATCACTTTCCACCCTGATATGGCTCTAGAAATAAGCCATTTGCTTAAATATGGACATGCATGCACACATGCATGTTGTCATCAGCTCCAAGAGGCACAGTAAGGAAGGATCCCAACAGGAGCTGTCTCATCAAAACTGGTACTCCCAGCTGCCCGTAAGGTCTGGGCCCTGGGAGACGTGCTCAGTGTCCAGCATGTGAAGGTGCTGGTACGGTGTGCTCTACAGACAGATAGGCATCCTTAGTTCACAAGCACAGAGTCAAGTTATCTGCCATCCAACATGTCCACACACTTTCCTTAGAGTGATGAGCAGTCGTAAATTATAAAGAAGAAAGCAAGACTCAGCATGACAATAAGCCCTCATCATGAGACCCATTGTTGAGAACAGTATTGAAAGGGAAATTTGTTAGAAAAGGAAAATTCTGTGTGTTTAGTGTGTGGCTCATGGCAAGCACTGGAAATGTGTGGAATGAGTGAATAATTGAATGAATTACACCTGGCCAAAGGATGATTCAGAAACACTGTAGAACACTCGATGCACAAAGGGTCTCGTGATCTCGTAGCATTTGCTGAGCACCGGGCCTGGGTGACAGGAAGAGTGAGTAGTATTCATGGGGAAGGCACTTTGTCCTGCAAGGTGCTTCCTCCTGTCCCCGCACTGTCTTCAGCACCCCTATGAAGGCGGGCACTACTGCCATCCACACTCACAAATGAGTAAACCAAGGCTTGTAGAAAACAGACCCAAAGTTACCCATCACAGTGCCAGATGCCAGGCAGCGCACTCATGATTGACGGCATATGGCCAGCTATCTGGGCAGCCTCCTCACTTAGCATGTGAGGTTTAAGTTGTGGTTGCTTCCTTCCTGGGGGCTGATTCACATCGTGACCTTGTCTGGTGTTTTCTCTTCTGTCCTTGGCTAAAGAGAGCTACTCAGCTTGGCCCACTTCTAAAGCTCTCCAACTTCAGGCTTTTGAAAATGTGCTGCGGTTTCTGGGAGAAGCCTTTGACTAGAAAGCAATGCATTGTAAATAGGTCAGAGTTTGTTACTGAGCACTAGTAACTGGCTAGTGAGGAGGATCCCATCAGTTTGCATAAAGAGCACAACGATGTGGATTTTCAGAATAGTTCACAGGTTGGCAGCATGTTATGACAACAACCTCATATTAGGTAAGAGCTATTAGCCTCAGTTTACAAATGGGAAAACCAAAGCCACAAACAGTTGAGTGAATCCTCCATGGCCAGCAGCTAGACACGTGGCCGACCAGATCACGAATCCACACACTCGCCCCTCCACACTCCTAAAGGCAGGGACTGCCACGTTCCTTCCCTTCCAGAGCAAAGCTGTGTAACTGCCTAGCACAGTGCCTTGTACATACAATGCTGAATTCATCCAGAATGTTCTGAGAATAGAATATTCTAGTTCGTTGAACTTTCCTGCTACCTGAGAATCAACCAGAAATTCTGTTTTTCAAACCTTTTAAAATGTGTGTGTTCACAATGCCATGAAACTAGAAATCAACCACTATAAAAAAACTCAAAAATATTCAAACATATGCAGGCTAAATAGCATGTTATTAAACAGTGAATGGGTTACCAGTGAGATCAAGGAAGAAAACAAACACTTCATGGAAAAAAAAGAAAATGAACAGACAACAACCCAAAATCTGTGGGACACGGCGAAAGCAGTCCTGAGAGGAAAATTCATAGCATTACAAGCCTATCTCAAGAAACAAGAAAAACCTCTAATGAACCATCTAACACAACAACTGAAAGAACTAGAATGAGAACAGCAAGAAAAACCCCAAGGAAGTAGAAGGAAGGAAATAATAAAGATCAGAGCAGAAATTAATGACATAGAGACTAAAAAAAAAATTACAAAAAATAAATGAAACCAAGAGCTGGTTCTTTGAAAACATAAATAAGATTGATGCACCTTTAGCCAGACTCACCAAGAAACAAAGAGAGAAGACCCACATAAAATCAGAAGTGAAAGAGGCGATATAACAACTGACCCAACAGAAATACAAAGGATTGTAAGAAAATACTACAAGCAACTATATGCCAACAAACTGGACAACATGGGTGAAATGGACAAATTCCTAGAAGCCTACAACCTTCCAAAGCTGAATCAGGAAGAGGCAGAAAACCTGAACAGGCCGATAACAACTAACGAAATTGAAGCAGTAATCAAAAAACTCCCAGAAAACAAAAGTCCTGGACCAGATGGATTTACAGGTGAGATTTACCAAACATTCAAAGAAGAATTAACACCTATTCTATTCAAGCTATTACAGAAAATTCAAGAGGAGGGAAAGCTCATTTTTTAATTTTTTTTAATATATCTTTATTGACTTCAGAGAGCGGAAAGTAGAGGGAGAGAGAGAGAGAGAAACATCAATGATGAGAGAGTCATTGATCTGCTGCCTCCTGCACGCCCCCAACTGGGGATCGAGCCTGCAACCCAGGCATG